GCAAAAAGGGGGGGCGGGGGCGGGCCCCCCGGAACCACTTCCCGGAAAAACCGCCCCCTCGGTATTAGGGACCCCCTTCCCGGAACCATTATGGGGGGGCAGAACCCTTTGTCTTTGGGGCCACAAGGGGGATCCAAGGAAGGGGCCGAAGGCGACCCCAGGAACGAGCGCCCGCCGTGCGCCCCACCTTGGGCGGGCGGCGGGCGGCGGGCACCGCCCCTGGAAAGGGCACGAGAGGCACGAGAGGCCCCAGAGTCGAGTGCTGCACCGAGTTGACGTTGGCGCCGTGCTCGAGCAGGAGAGCCGCCGGCGGCGCGAAGTGCAGTCGGTCAGCCGGCGCCGGTCCATCGCATGCCGCTGGCGCCGGGCCGTGCGATCAGTCGAGTGAAGGGTTGGCTAGCCTTGCCGTTCAAGATGAAGCCCGCCATGTCGGCATCGGCTGCTGCACGTTGAAGGAACTGGGCGGCCGAGCCGACGACGGGCACGATCCGCTTGCTCTCCTTGTGCTGCAGCCACGGTAGCTCGCGCAGCATCCGCCAGCCGTCCTTGCAAAGGTAGCCAACGACGCCTCGCGAACCCTCGCCGACCAGCTCGAGCATGTTGTTGTAGGTCGGTTTGGTGTTCTTGCCGAACATCTGCGACAGCGCGGACCTGCCCGCGACCACGTGGACGACGCCCGCCGAGTCCACGAGCGTCCATGATGGCTCCAGCGCCATGATCGACGCGGATCTTCGAGGTGTTCAAGCGGGCGCCGGTAGATCTTCGAGGTGTTCACGCGGATCTTCGAGGTGTTCAAGCGGCGGTGGAAATGACTTTCCTCATCAGCGAACCTCCGCCCAAAAAAAATTCAGGACCCGCTGACGGTGACAATCGTTGATCAGGGCCCTGATTTTACACCGTCATGTGCCGGCAATCGATTTCTCGCGAGGAAAGGAGAATTTTAGAACGCATCTTTTTACCGATATCCTAGTAGAGGTGCCCGCTTTTATTTTTTATTTACTCTCACGACGTCCGACTCACGACCCCTGCTCTCCCTGCTCAGGCGCCCACGCCTCGATCTTCTTGGGCAGCAGCTGGTTCGACAGGTCCTCTCCGTGGCCTAGGCAGGCGTTGTCGCCCTCGCCCCACGTGAAAACGGCGCCGTCGGCGGTGAGGGCGAGGCTGTGGTCGACTCCAGCCGAGACAGCGACAACGCGCTGGCCAGCAAAGGCCTCGATCTTCTTCGGCAGCAGCTGCTTCTGCTCGTCGCCGTGGCCCAGCTTGCCAGAGTATCGATCGCCCCAGCTCCAGACGGCGCCGTCTGCGTTGATGGCGAGGCTGTGATCGACTCCAGCCGACACAGCGACGACGCGCTGCCCCGCCAAGGCCTCGACCTTCTTGGGCAGCAGCTGGTCCTGCCAATCGCCGTGGCCCAACTCGCCCCAGTCTCCACAGCCCCAGCTCCAGACAGTGCCGTCGGCGGTGGTGGCGAGGCTGTGCTGGGATCCAGCCGACACAGCGAGAACGCGCTGGCCAGCCAAGGCCTCGACCTTCTTGGGCAGCAGCTGGTTCTGCTCGTCGCCGTGGCCCAGCTTGCCAAAGCCTCCCAAGCCCCAGCTCCAGACGGCGCCGTCTGCGGTGATGGCGAGGCTGTACTCCAGTCCAGCAGACACCGCGACGACACGCTGCCCAGCAAAGGCCTCGATCTTCTTGGGCAGCGGCTGGCGCTGCAGGTCGCCGTGGCCCAGCTTGCCCTCCCCTCCATCGCCCCAGCTGCAGACAGCGCCGTCGGCGGTGAGAGCGAGGTTGTGATCGACTCCAGCCGACAGGGTGACGACGCGCTGCCCAGCCAACGCCTCGATCTTCTTGGGCAGCAGCTGGTCCTGCCCGTCGCCGTGGCCCAACCGGCCCCCGCCTCCACAGCCCCAGCTCCAGACAGTGCCGTCGGCGGCGAGGGCGAGGCTGTGGTACTCTCCAGCCGACACGCTCATGGCGCGCTCGCCGCCCAGCGTGCCCGACGGGAGGCGGGTCGGC